ACAAACTCGTCAACTGTGGCTTCGACATCGGCGACGTCACAAGGTGCTGTCTGTCGGCATTGGTCAAGCACAGTGTCCTTTGCCGTGTTCAAACACCTGTCGTGCGCGACGAAGCGGTCGTCCGCGCCGTGTGCAAGGAGCTTATTGATGTATTGATCGCGCCGTCGTCGGTCCACACCGCCGACGATGTTCGCATCAAGGGACTTGCTTTCGACGCTTCAGCCCCCAAAATCTCCGTCAATCGGCCGTGCCACTCACTCGACACGAGAACGCGGTTGAATGGATGGCTGCGAGGAAGTTGACTGGCAAACGCACTGCCCACTCGATCGGCCGTCACAAATACTTCGGCTAACGCACCTTCAATCGCTGTCAAGTCAACATGGCAGGCTTCACAAGCGACGTCGCAAGAACTCCTGCCAGCGTCGGCAAAGGAAATAGCGCGCCCCAACAACGCTGAAGACACAGTCGGCGAGTCGCGAGAGGTCCATCTTGACCCCCGACAATCCAAGGAGCGCCGCCATCACCTCAACACGGGGGTGCGATTTCTTGTGTTCGATGAGACCGATGGTGTAGAGATAGAGCTGGGCTGCTGCAACAGGTCGGCTTAGGAATCGCTGGAGGAACCAGCACCAGGTAAACTTTGGCAGGCTCTGCGTGGGCTGGTTCAACGGCGCGTGCCGGGTATCATCGAGCGATTTGTCGACCCAGAGCGCATTCGTTGTCTCCAGGACAGCCGTGGATTGCCAGAGCGCAAGCTGATCGTCGGGGAAACTGCAGTTGACCACTACGGCTTCCATCCACCGATGATGGACTGCCGCATCCGACCGCGATTGCCACAGCCGTACTTGAAACTCGTCTGGCCATGTGGTTTCTTTGCTCAACGGGCCGAACAGGCCTCGATAAAATTGCCACGGACACGCGGAACCACGAATGGCTCTACACCGCTCCCGTCCAGCCACACAATTTTAGATCGGCTGATTACCTCGCTGTCGAATGCCATGCCGCCGGGCATTTCTGGAGCAACTTTGCCGCCAATACCAGCAGCCTTGGAGGAAGCGCCAGAGTCTGTATTGCTGTTTTTGCAAAAAAAGTTCGACGCGTCCGGGACTCGAACCTGGGGCTCACTCAAGACACACTACGTGTTTTACCACTGCACTATCGCGTCAAACGCTTACCTTTGTAAGTGGACCATCGTACCAGCTATTTAAAAAACTCGGGTGTTTGAAATTGAGAAATGTCTCCAGCTTTGTTGTTGATTGGCTTTAATGCCCTGCGAATTTCGAAGCTACCTGACCAATTATGTTCCAATTTCAACAAAATTCGAAGTACTAGGTGTCCCTAAAAATCTGTCGCCCCAGTTGGTCGCGAGCACTCGCTCAGTGACGTCGAAATTGCAAAATTTTGGCCAATAACAACGCAGTCCTCATCAGCTGAAAAAATTCAATGCAATAAAATTTCCAGCAAAACCCAACGTCGAAATAATATTACCTTATACAAATATCAAGATATTGCACTAGTACCAAGGGGGAAGGATTTCCGTCGTTCACTGTAGAGCAAAGCTTCATACGAACGATATCTCTGTAGCCCTGCTTTTTTGCAGCCTTTTTCCTGGCGACTCTTCGACTTAGTTACATCCATCCATTGACACAATTTGCCAATTTTTCGAAAAATACATTTGAGATACTTTTTCTTTGACCGATTCAGCTACTCTTCAGTTTTGGATGTCGAAGGAACGCAAATAGGCGCCAAACGAGCTGAAGCGGGACGACAACGAGGACGATGGCGTTCACGAGGACGCTCGCGATGAATGCCAAGATCACGGCGACGACGAACACCCTGAGGAAGAGGAAGTACGTAGGATAGACGGCGTGGATGGGGCCACACGCGACGGGTCCATCTCCGGAGTATCTGTCGGCTTGAACAACCTGCTGGAGCTTGAGGAGGCCGTCTTTCCCATACACCGACGCGGCGGCAGTCGGTGGCGACTTGGACCAGTCAAACGCGACATCACCAAAGTTGTACGAGCCGTAGTACTGGTGTGGGTCGACACGAAAATGCCACGGCAGGATCATGTTGGCAAGTGTAAAGGCAGGCCCGATCACCCCACGCATGAGTTTCTGCCGCATGTGCTTGAGTATGAATGCAATTCATGCCGAAAACCACGTACCCATGCATGCGTCATGCCGGAGCTCGAAATTTCCGTCAAGTTGTAGGCGTCTCCGCAACGGACTTGGTTAATTTCGGCAAAGTGGACGTCGCCGCTGTAGACGACGCGTCTATGAGAAGGCTGGATTCTGTGTCATGTCAACTCACCTCAAGAGGATCACTCCCGACGCACGTGAAGACTGGATGAGTGATAAGAGTCGCGCCCTCGCTTTCGGAAACTTGGACCACGATTCTCCAATCTTGTGCCATCGATCGTCAGGCAGCACTTGGATGCCCGCGGCCACAATGTTGAACGTCGCAGTCGACGTCATTAGCTCGTGTTCGAGCCACGTCCACTGAGCTTGTCCAAGGAAATCGCCAAACTCTGTCCCGTAGGGGTCCCGGTGATACCTACCAAAATTATCAAGATGGCGTCATGGTTGGAGATGTCATCGTGACAGAGCGTCGTACCGATTGTCCAGCAGAATAAACTTGACGCTGGTTACCCCGCTGCCGTACGTGTACGACGTGTAGATGCCCTAGAAAGTTTGGCATTGATTTGATTTTGTCATCACAAGGATAGTGTGGAGAGGACGAACCTCTTGATGCCGTCGTGGAGAGTTCTTGGGCTCGTCCAGGAAGTCCAGAAAGAGCTGCTGGCTCTCCTTTCGATACTGGTAGTGATTATCACCATCGTTAATGCCTGCCGCAGCAGATGTATCAACATTAAATGCGGTCTCGCATGCGTCGTACCATAGTCGTGGTCGTCCCAAATGCCAATGATGGGGAAGGTTTGCCGAAAGCGTGAATAGTCGGGATGTGCTAGCTGCTGCCTTTTCACCGTGGTGGATGTTTGACGAACGAAACATTCGTTCATGCAGATGGACCTTACTTGTATTTAGCGGCGAGAACGTCCGGCGGAGCGGGGCGGAAGACACCTTTCGACAAAGTCGCCGTATCCCAGACACGAATGTCGCCGTAGATCTACAAAACCGTGATGAGCATGCATAATCCAGCAGCGATGGAAACCGCACATTGTCGCCGAGCCATAACCACAGTTGTGGGTGTTTCGCAGTGATCACGGGCCACAACATCTGATGTTTCGCTTGATCATTGCACGAGCCAAAGGCAAAGCGGTCAAGCTTCGCCGTGGAATTACCCTCGTAGTACCCATGGACGGGATTCCCAGCGAGAAAGAGTGCGGCGGCGGCAACGACAGAGCGGTTCAGTGGCATATCGGAAAGCCCGATGGCAAAACAATTGATGTTGGCATTCATTCTCACATAAGTATATGTCGTACTTAAGAGAGTCGTACATTGCACGAAACGCTGTTCGAAGTGTCGTCCAGAGAGAAGATTAAGTCGTCGACGTGAGAAGCTCCATGCGTGCTGGCTCATTCCGTGCGTCAAACGAGGTTTAATGGGTCTACGTGTGGCTGGGTCCCGTCACGTTGAGCATGGGCTGGAGGTGGTGGCTTGGAAATCTAGCGCGATGCTTCGACGAGGTGAAGGAAAGCTGCGACAAACTCGTCAACTGTGGCTTCGACATCGGCGACGTCACAAGGTGCTGTCTGTCGGCATTGGTCAAGCACAGTGTCCTTTGCCGTGTTCAAACATTTTGCCATCGCGGACTTGGATGTCTCGTCACGGAGGATTGTCCCGACGAGGCGCCGAAGTCGCCCGTCAAGACAGTGCACAACGCTGCGACGATTAGATTCCCGGCTTGCTTCCTATGCAGACCAAGGGATGCTGCGGAGGAAATGAAGGAGGGTATGTACCTTTTCAAGGGCATTTGCGTCATGAAGACTTGATTCGGGATGCTGAGCGATCCGCCAAACGAATTCCATTGTACGCACAACTGCATCGTCCCTGTGTGGCAAGAAATTGAGGGCTTGCTTTCTAGTAATAGCGTTCACGTTACAGACCTCTGCAACTCGGTTTCCAACGCAACTTGAAGGGTGTGTGACTCCCATGCGTTTGAACTTGCATCAGGAACTTCCAGGAGCGATGCCATGCGACCAAACACAGACTCCGGGACAGGAACAGGTCGAGTTTGGTTGCGTTGCCAGCAAATTTCGTTGGAAGTCGTGACAAACACTTGACCAAACCCAGCGCGAACTAGAACACCGTATGGCATATCAAACCATGCCGTCGGGGTACGCACATTCTCGGGCCAGTTGATGGAATCGTTTGCGCATGCTGCGGTAGTACATGTTGTCGTCAACGAGGAACCTTGCAAACAGGGTCAGCTGCACCAAAAGAATCGCAAGCGCGCACACAGACGTACACATGAAGGATGTGGTTCACTATATCGGCAGTGTCGGCGAATTCCCGCAAACGCGACTGAATACGATTAACCACAGCCATGCGCATGTCACGCCAAGCCAGCGGGTCGAACGTCTCGTCATGGCGGCGAAACGAGTCGAAGATGTCGTCGTAGCAGATCCACTCGACGGACACATTATCGCCGGATTCGTAGTGTGTAGCTAGCGCTTGGCAAAGGCTGGATTTGCCCGCTCCTGGCAACCCGCACATCACCAGTACGACCGCCGACGCTGTCATGGCCTTCTCACTTGGCCTGGTTGATTTTGATTGGCCAGTACACTTCTTGACTTGGGAGAATGACATTTGAGCCATGTGAGAATTCCTTGTTGGTCTTATCATACGCCAGAGCATGCGTATATTCGAGTCGAATAGGCGAAGGCTCGCCAGAGACGGCAGAGTTGGTCCGCGACTCGTATTCATGCATGGTCGTTGTGAGCGCAGTAGAGTATTTGCTTCGCGCTCCATTGCCTCGTTTTAGGCGATGCACCTGTTGATCCTATGTACCTGCGAGCGCAACACCACCAGATTAAGTCGCCAGTCCAGGATTATGGATCGACGTGGCACTCGAGTACAGAATAGTTCGGCACCAGAGGTAGGTGTCGGCTATAGCCCTTTTGCTTTCGGAAGCACAGGCAGGTGTGTTCTATGGCTTTTTTGATCCATTGTCCATGCACGCCATGGGTACAGTATGTCATCTTGCTGGTTTGCGGAGTATATTCAAGCGCGCCACTGTGTCGAACAATATCTGTTCATACAAACTACGAAAGAGCCAAACAAGTCGGTCGTTGCATCAACTGACGCAGGTTCCTTTGTTCAAACGGTACTTTGTGGTCTTGCGAATCTTGGTGCCCTTTGGAACCGCCTGAAATTGATACGACTGAACGGTACACACGATGCGAGGGGCGTATGCCCGCACGTAAGACAATGCCATCATGAGATCGTACAGACTGAGTACGACAAACGACGGCTCGACAACCTTGGTTCCAAGCGGCTTCACTTCAATCACCGAACTAGCCTGCTCTTCGATGATGCCATATCCCAGAACAGCCAACGTACTCGCCTTCACAAACAATTTGTTGCCGTACTTGATGCACTCGGACTCGTAGAGCGGCAAGCATGTGACGTACGACGGCACAAACTCGCGGGTGAGAAACTCGTTGTGTTCAAAATACGCCAAATCCAAGTAGATCCGGCGATGGCGGACCATGGGGTACAAGATGCTAAGGATAATCATGATCCCCGACGCAAGAAAGAGGTCTGGGAGGAGCATTTGCACGCACGACAGCACTTCCAATTGATCATACGCTCCCGAAACAAGAGTCTTGTTCTGGACGACAAATGTCAGATTCGATTGCGAACGCTGCCAGAGCGGCTCGTAGAACGTGGACGAGACGTCCCAGGACACGACAATGATCAGCGACAGCCCCAACGTTCCCATGTGCATGAACGGTGCAAAGATTCGAATCACTTTTCCTTTGAGAAACGACGGCGACGGAAGGTGCTGGATCATCACCATGATCCAAAACACCACCAGCGTGAAGAGGCCGCTGGCCATAGCACAGACGACGTAAAAAATAAACTTTTGTCCGGCTGTGTCATGGTACAACCGTGCGATTTCGAGGTAAAAGATGCCTCCGATGCGGATGACCACGAGCAGCGCCATCACAAGGCGACGCCGTTCCAGACCAGATAGAAAGTCATACGTCAGGACAGGTTTGCCCAGCAGGACGCCTTGCACGCCGACGAGGGTCGTGAACATGTCGCCGCCAAACAGATGCAACATCACTGCGATGGCAATGCACTGGGCCACCGTGATCTCGATACCATTCGAAACATCGTGCTGACACGTGTGTCCGACTTGCAGGGCCAAACCGGAGAGTTCACCAATGTGGCTCGTCCATGCGTTGCCTTGGACAACTTCGGAGGTGCAAGAGTAGTGAAAAACGTAGCGAAGATGGAACGGGACGGCCTGGTACCGCCAATTTGTGTGATTGGGACGTGCATACGTGACAGACCCGTTGGGGGCCACGAATTCCTTGGTCACGTTCGCGAACACTGACGTTTTCGATCCATCCGTGTCCATGCGAACGTCCAGCGCAACTTCGTCGTCGTCAGCGTACGTGGTGAGGAGATACTGCACCGCGTCAGTGTCGTCAAACGCTGTTTCAAGCATTGCTATGGACACCAGCGTTTCGGCTGTCTGTGGGGCGCAGTCTGGAACCCGATGCGTGGACAGCAAAAAAACAATGCCTCCGTAACCTTTGTCGAGTCCGAATGCGCATGTCGTGACGGCGAGGGACATTGAATTGTCCACGAGGGTGGCTCCAAGTTGCCGAGCGAGGCTGGTCCCTATCGCAGCCCACGCATCGGAAGTCGTGAGGTTTGCTTCGCTAGGACTACAAGATTTGAAGCCTGCAGAGGTGAGGAGGCACGCGTCTCCGACAGTCGACCACGTGCTGGCAATCGCCGGGTGGGCTGTCGTGGTTTGGCGCGACCACAACCCGGCAAAGTTGAGTGAGATGTGGACAATCAGGAGCAGTCCGACGACGAAAAATTCCGAGCAGTTCACGAACAGGCGAAAGTAGATGTCGAAGCGTTTGTCTCGTGAGGCAACTTCCATCGCGTGGTGCTGGCCAGAACTGTGTGTGTTGGACTTGTCGATCGAGTCTTGACCCCGTCGAAATGTCTTGGTGAACGCCTGCTTGATGCCATCGACAGTGAGCTTAGACCCCTCGTGGCGGACATTCACGCTGTACTTGGAAGAGGTCTGGTTGGCCCCGACCATGTGTGTTCATGCCAAATCGAACCACGAGTTTCAATGAAGTGTCCACGGTATATGGACGGCTCTAAATATACTTGACGCTGCTCGTTTCGCAAAAGCAGCGAGTGCCCAACCAACCACCCATCAACCCAACGAAACGCCACCACGCGGCCCGCCCCCAGCAGACAGTTGGGCGCTTGTGGTGGCCTTGACGTGCACGCCATACAACAACGGTGAAACATTACGCAATACCCATGCAGTATGAAGCTCCTTCGTATCCCCACCCCGCTTGTTTCGATGGACGCTCAACTTGTTCTCAGTCGTCGCAGGCAACAGACAGCCAAATCTAACTATGCCTTGTCTTATACTAGTAAGGGAATGGACTGGCCAAAGTCGTCAAAATATCAATTTTGCGTGAATTATGTGTCTCCAACATCCACAGCCATTTACAGTGTGTACAGCAGGGTGATATATGTCAATATCATCGACGTTCCAACGAAAATCCTACAGATCAAATTCAGTTCGCCTTGGACATACTACAGTATGTAGTCAAATTCTTGCGGTGGGAAATCCAAAATTCCGACACGTTTCAAAATGTTTAAACTCTCTGAAACGCCGGAGGACTTAAACATTCCGGAGAAATTTTTGAGGAATCAATTTACATTTTTTGTTAATCCTGGGCAATGCAAATCATTCGCCTCACGAATGGAGGGGCGTGCAGTCACTTCTTGACACGCTGCGTGTTGCGCTCCCCACAACATGGCTGCTGGCGAGCCCACCCCCATCAAAGACAGAGCGGTGCGCGCCGTCGTCACTGTCGCCGGGCAACACAGCTACATACATGAGGAAAGCGCGTGAACGAACCATAGCGAGAGGTGGACCTGCCATCACCCCTTGGCCGCCGCCGACGCTGCTGACCCCCAAGCATTCAAAGCGGTGACGGTAGGAGGATGTCGTCGTCGTCTATGAAACAGCAAGCTCTACGATTCACTGTATTGGTGGCTGTTTCTGACGTGGCAGCTTCTCGTTCAGTTGTTATGCACTGTCCGTTTTGACCAATCAAAGTGTCGAATCTGCATTTGAACAATGGAGTCCGACCTAGAGTTCGGCAAGGCCCTCGTCCGGCAACTGCTGGCAGGTACAATGCGACCTCACCGACACAATGACCAAAGGAGTCGACATATATCCATATTCCTCGTAGATGAGCCCTGCCAAGGTGAGACGGGAGCGCCGTCCGCGCGCGCGATCCAGAACAAGGTCGAGTTGGCGTCTTCAGCGACGGCAGTATGCTATAGCCTCGAGCTCATGGACGGCAGCACCATTCCTTTCCGACTGGGCGTGTCTGCTTCCTATGGCATGGTTCTGAAAGCCATTCAAACTGAGATGACGACAAAGTTAGGAAATCGACGTATTTCATGGTGAGACTTTGTACAATGGCCACACGCTAGAGGCGAAGAAGTACTCAACAAGTGCTTTGCGTAGGAAACATTTGTGGCGACGGCACGATTTACAATGTGATGGAGCTTTCGTGGATGTCCCTCGCGGGTCACAGCGTCCCTTTACTGAGTACCTTCCACCCCGTCAAAATCACTCCCAGCCGTTGGTTCTCCGCATCGTGCGAACTCGCGGCAAGAACAAATGACTCAGCCTAGTGACGACCACTTTTGTTCAATCGCTCACGGCGGCAATGATAGCAGCATCGTGGACAAGCACGTCGATTATGTCGTATGCCATTTGCCTTGGCAAAGAACCATTCGTGGCCTGCAGTACATAGATGCTTTAGCAGAGCCATGGGGGATGCAAACTTGAACTACCGGTAGTCTTCTCGTCCAGGAAGGGATGACAAAGGTGACCTTTGGGATATCTCCGAGTGCCCGACACCATCACGAAAGGACAAGTTTGAGTTATTTTCAGTCAAGTCTGTTGTGAGAAGAGCCATTCCGGAACAAAAACGAACCACATTCGTGTTAAAATGTCGTCCGTAGATGTGTTCGTGTATTTTGCTCTTTTGTGATGGGTTACTGGACACGCTTACTAGCTTGTCAGCGATGAAAGGTTGTCAAGTACACCACTGTGTCTGGCCCAAACTTGTCCGTTCTGTCCCAGTTCACAGCTGCCCTTGGACGTTGCGCTGTTTTAGCTGCTCATGCAACCACAAGACAGAATAGGGAGTCCAGTCGCGATTTTCCATCACGAGCTTCTCGTTCCGGCGCTCTCGGCTGTTCGTGTGTTGACGTGACTCAACATTGCTTCTTTTGGCAATATCATCTCGCAATGTTTGCGGCCACTTGCCCGAAAATACGCACACGACATTGTCGGGACGACTCATGTTGGCGTCACCTCGAGTCGACACCTTCTGCTGGTTGGAACCTATCTCTACACACCGACGAGGTCTGTAATCTTGGCTATTCCCTGCAGTCGATGGCCAAGGCAGACAAACCCGACGCGTCTGGACGATGCAAGGATGACTGGTTCTGCATAGTTCGATGCTGTGAAAGCAGCGACACACGCGCAGCGAGTTGTCCAAGTTTGGCCAGGTTTCTCGAGCAGTTCATGCTCATGGCGTTGGTTCATGCTGTTAGCTCAATCAGCACTTGTTGGGTTCTGTACGTTCAGTTTCGCACTTCTTCTTTGTCTTCTTCCATGGCCGCCAACAATTCCTTGAGCTCGGACCACAGCTTTTCCCGTTCTTCACCCTCCACAGCACCTTTCAGCTTCGCGCTCTTCTCTTCGTTTGTGCCGCTGAACCACAGCGCCACGACGTGTGTGTCGCCGTTGTCCGGTAGGGGAAACCCGTACTTGTCTTCGATCCAAATAGGGGGCCCTTTGGCCAGCAACCGTCGCAGCTCGGCTTTGCAATCAGGTTCTATTGGAGTGGTCAGACGATATTTCATCGGAGGAGCTTACCTTGGACACCTTTCATAAATGCAGTGAACTGGGCCTCTTGGAGTTGCATGACGACGTCGGCACTGAACTGGCATGGATGCCACTGCAAACTCGGGTACGTCTGATACTCAACGTACGTTTCTTCGGTGATGTCCTCCATCGTGGCAAGGCACTCCATGCCTTCCGCGGGCTTGCCATGCGCGGCCATTCTCTGTCTCGCAACTCCTTCTAAAGTCCGGATAAGTGGTGTTAGTACTCCGGATACGCCCTCCAACGACATCCACTCTGAACATTCACTCTTCTAATGGATCGACATTTGCTAAAAATCAAAATCTCTTTATAATTTTTCGAAAACAATAGATAGGCACACCAACATTATTATTTACGCATAAATATTGCCCAGAATGAATATTTAGTGTATATTCTACACCTGACAACATAATTCTGGGTTTGCCACGCGTTTCATCGGGCGATACCCAGCGCACAATGCACGAAGAGTAATCTCATCCGGGAAGTTGCAATCATTGTGGCCGTCTCGCAGCCGCGCCTAGCCATAGAGTCCTGCATTGTCGAGGTGGCGCTCGTGTTGTAGCGATAATGCAGCCTGGATGAGACGTGTTCGCTGCGCGCGCGACATTCACGCCAGAGTCAATCGAGTCGCGGTTATGTCGATGCATCCATGCACAGACAGTGATACATAAACTTGAAAGTTACATCTATTTCTTCGTGAATTGCTCTCCTCCAGCGTACCCGTTATTCTTGTGGAACGACTGCATGTAGTGCACTTTGCACAGGAGCTGGTCGCCGGCAAAGGTAAAGTTGTTCAGGTTGAGCTGCGTCGAGCAGTTGGCACACTTGAAGCACTCTTGATGGAAGATCTTGCCTTCCAACTGCGTCTTGAGGTCATTTGCATACACACTCTTGGCACACAGCGTACACTTGGGGCTACCTCCAAACACGCGCTTCACTTTGCTCGCGCCGTTGTTCGGGCTGATGCGCTTGGTTTGGTCTAATGCCGGTGCGTCCGAGCTTGATCGGATGCCACGGTTCGAGTCGCTGCGCAAAAATGGGTTGGACGACAACGAGTCGCGCAGCGGAGACACTTTGGTTGGCTTTTCGTTGACGTCGTATGGGGTGATGTCGAGGGGGGCAAGGGGGGCAGGGGCAGGCGCCGCCGCTGCTGCTGCCGCCGCAATTTCCTTGACGACAGTTGCGGACACAACATCGTCTTTTTGTTTCTTGAACTTGTCTTCGCCGCCGTACGAGTTGGTCGTTCGGAAGAACGACATGTAGTGCGTCTTGCAAAGCAGGACGTCGCCATGGTACGCAAACGTATTTAGAGTCAGCTGGCATGCGCACTCAGTGCACTTGAAGCAGCTCTTGTGATATAGGTGCGCCGACTTGCCATAGACTTGTGGGTCGTTGTAGTACACCGCCTTGGAGCACGTGGCGCAGCTCACCATGTCGAAACGTCAAATTGACTACTGAATGGGGAAGGACAGGTCATCCGGATTCCAGCCCAGATCGCGGAACGGTATCCGGATGTAGCATGTAACCAAATCACACTGTAACACATTGGTCACGGCGTTTTATTCGACGCGTTCTGGTTTAAACAGCAAGTCACCTCCTTTCGATTGGGCACAGCCGAACACCGGTATGCGTTAAATGTATACGTTGAACCTCACCTTACGTTAAACTACCATTTTTCTCCAAATCAGACTCGGCATCAGCAACTTTCGACATGGGGAAACTTCTTGGAGCCAAATCGAGAGGTCGTCGTTGAACGAGGAGGGAGCGGCGGCGCCTGGTCATCGCATGTCTCTATCATAGCTTCAGGACGGGGGCGTCATTGCGGCACTCGCCCTCCGTGACCGATCGGATGCATCCACCGACTGCGCGCGTCCACTGTCTCCCCAAGCACTTTGTCATCGTACTCGTTCATCGTTTCGTCAACGGCGCGCTGGGATTTGCAATGGCAGCTGCCTCCGACGTGCGTGAGTGCTATGGACACTACACACACGCGTTTTCCCAACTCACCCAGGGGCGTGTGCAAACGTCTCTGAGCACATTTGACGCGCGTCGATGGTTGTAATGTTAAGGTTGACGTAAGCCCGACGCAATGTGGTGCGCCACCGCCACGGCGGAGCTCCAGCACCCCGTAAAATTGAATCCGCCGGTGACCCCATCCACATTGAGAAATTCCCCGACAAAGTACAGCCGCGGCACAGCCTTTGCCTCGAGGTTCTTTGTGAGTTGGTTCAGCTGAACTCCTCCCGCGGTCACAAACTCCTCCTTGAACGTCGCTTTCCCGGACGTATGGAACGTCGACTGCACGACGTTTGAAGCTATCGACTGGATGACATCGTTGGATGCGTTCGACCATTGAATGTCCGAGTCGAGCGCGAGGCGGCTCCACAGTCGCTGGGGCACGGCAGGCTTGCCATCGACGAGGACCGGACACACCGACCGGAGATTTCGCTGGGGAGCGGCTTGCCTCTGGGCTTTGAGCAGTTGCACCACCTGCGTACGCATGCGTAAGAATGCGACATCTTCTGAAATGATTCTGGAACGAACCTCATCCAGCCGCCACCGTCCACCTGTCCAGTCGACTTGTACCGGCATCTTGTAGTTCGCGGCATGCATGGGAATGGCGGCAAATGCACTTTGCCGGAGGATAGCAGGACCGCTTAACCCATTGTGTGTGATCAGGACAGGTCCAGTCACTGGCGCGAGCTTCTTGGCCGTGGGAAGGGTGACGCGGGCCGGGTCCACTGAGATTCCAGCCAAGCCTTCAAGTCGCGGGTCGTTGTCGATTTGAAATGTGAACAACGATGGCACTGGCGGCTCGATCTCGATACCAAAGGACGACTTGACCAGCGACCACAGCGGGACGGACGACCCGCCGGCGATGACCACACTTGTCGCGGTCCACCGGTGCTCGTCGTCCGAAGCTTTGTGCGTTGCGGTGACTTCGAATCGTCCGTCTTCCGTTTGCGTCAGCCCCGTCACGCGTGTCCTTGTTTCAAATTCCACATCTTTGGCTGCATGCAAGAGAGCATTGACGATCGTCGCGCTAGAGTTGGTGGCGGGAAACACTCGACCGTCCGGCTCCGTGTGCAACTTGACGCCGCGGTCTTCAAACCACGCGTGGGTCTCGTCTATGCCAAACCGTGTCAGCTGACCCATCAGCGACTTGTTTCCTCGGGGGTACTGCTGAACGAGGTCACGGATGGAAAACTTGTTGCGGGCGTGGGTGACGTTGCATCGGCCTCCGCCGGAAATCTTGACCTTCTTGAGCAGTTCTTTTGTCGCCTCGAGCACGACGATACGAGTATTGCAGTGCACGAGGTGCTTGATGGCTTGCGCGCAGAACACCCCGGCCGGACCGCCGCCAACCACGACCACGTCCGCCACCCGCGCTGCCATGGATGTGCCACAACTGAACTCAACACGGTTTGATTGGCTGAAATCACCAGAGCAGTTTCAAAGTTGACGTGGATGAGGACTTGCCGAAAGGTCGCCTTGCAAATGGACGTAGGAAAATTCACAAGCTCGATCGAGCTATTTCTACCTGTCGATCGATGCAAACGCAGCGACGTGGTCGCGTACACAGCTCTGTAAGCCCAGACACGGCGCAGGAGGGGAATGATGTGGGTTGGGGATCTTTCCAATCGACTTGGTCCTTGAATCGATTGAGAAACCGCAGGTAACGCTCGCACAAGGTTTAGGATGGCGACGCGGCAATGGCGACGCCAGGGTGCAGCGTTGCTCGTGCTCCTGGCGTGCGCTTGCCGATCGGTGGGCTCGTTTTACACTGAGGACTTTGAGCAGTTCTTCGCAGGTACAGGCCGCCGAGTCATTCCTTGATACCACGTCATGACTGGCAGGGATCAACTCGTACTGTGACGCGAACAACACCACAACGGATATTGATCAGCGACATCGAAGACTCGCTGCGACGTCAAACTTGAGCTCGTTCCGAAGCGTGATTGAGCATGGCTTTCGCGGCCGAAGCAATTCCGCGATTGTGTCTGTGGCGTCGGTGGAAGAGTGCGCCTCGCTGTGTGTGATGGATGCGCTATGCTTGTCGTTTGATGTTGAGGCGGGCACGTGCTACATTGCTCACACAGATCGGTATGCTTTTCCCGATGACATGATGTCGCGGCCAGGCAGCACGTATTACGAATGGCAAGGTATACCGCACCTCCCGAGTTGTTGTCATGAGCTCAAATGCATCTTACAGTGCCAGCGGCGTCGCCAACGTTCGAGCCCAACGGCGGAGTCTTTACGACTCTGACGTCAATTCGAATGTTTACCCCGACGCGTGCGGCTGCCATGTACTATCAAGTCCTTGCCACGAACGGGACCGTGGTTGTCGACTACTCTAGAACCAGCTCCGACAAAGCCATCGTCCTGCCGGAGATTCCGTGTTACGTGCAAGCCTACTCGACAAAAGTTGGCTTGGAAGACAGTCCGATAGCAAAGTCGAATCTGTTCGACATCCGAGGTGTGCAACTTGGCAGCAACGCAGTGACTTGAAAAGCCGCTGTAGCGTCCAAGTACATGTACTTGATCCCATTCTACAACGGGGACGACTTCCACGGCAAATTGACACGCATCAAGCTGGACGTCAAAGGAAAAAAACGACCTCGTCCGTCGCTCGTGCTCGAGTTCACCGACCTCGATACTTACATGGGTATCGGGCCCTTTCCCAACCAAGTGCAGGTGCTTGACTTGACTTCGTTGGATTCGCGACTGGCCGGTTTTTACGATGGGTTTTCAGGTACAGCATTTGAGGGCCAGCCAAAATGTTTCAATGGGCGTGCATGTAGTTGTGACCACCACCGCGTATGTCAATGTGAGTTTGGAATCGTACAATGATCTGTCGCGGTGGACGTTGATCGAAGCAACGACGTACCGCGTGAATCCGGGCAACAAGATCTTCAACAGCAACGTCCAAATGAACGAAGAGCACTTGTACTTGGCTCCATTCATAAACGGGGCGGGTTACTCCGGCTTGATCACCAAGGTCTACCTGCGAGCGTTCGATGGTGCCAGCCTTCCGCCGTTTTCGCCTGCAGTGCATAGGACACTCGACTTGACGCAACTGGACCCCGACTTGACTGGGTTTGGGTCGTGCTTTACACGTGCGTTGGACGGCCAGCGACCCCCCGTCGTCGTCTCACTCATGCTTAGGAAACAACTTTGGTTACTTTGTACAGCGCAAGAATGACAACGGACTCGGGGGTAAAGTTGTCCGGGTCGACTTGTCCAAGTTCCACAAACCCCCCGCTGTGGCGGCGACCGTGCTCGACTTGGAACTGACGGATTCGCGCCTCGTGGGATTTGGCGGCGCCTTTGTGTGTACGTCACATTATGCGACGCATTCCCGATCGAGACTCTTGTAGACGGCAAGTACGCGTACTTGACTCCACTCGACCGCAACCGCGTCGGGTTGGAGGTGAACCCCAACTACAAATACTTTCCCACGCCTACATCCAGCATCATGGCGCGCATCGACCTCGACGATTTTTCCACGGTGGACATCGTCGACTTGGCCACGCTGCACCCAAAGTTTGCCCGAGGTTACTTTGGTGGTTTTACAGGTTCAAACCATTGTCGGTCGCAACTTGTGCATTCACCTCGCCCCCCTTAGTCAACGCATTTGCGTATTTCGTCCCGTATATGTGGACCGCCAACGACTTGTCTCCCGCCGTGAATCCGTACCACGGAGTCATCGCCCGTGTCAACTTGCTGACACTAGCGATCGACAGCTTGGACCTCACTCTTGTCGACCCGTCCCTCAAGGGCTTCATGCGCGGCTTTGCATGTAACGATGCCTTCCAAGAAGCCTGTGGCTCGTTGACGCTGATGGTTGTCCTGGATAGTTGGCAAGTACGCAATCTTTGTCCCGCACAAGAATGGGCCCCACAACGCCACTCCCCGCCGCCTGAACTCCAGTCAAAAACAGCACTTTGGCAAAATTGTTCGCGTGAATACAGACATGTTCTCGCCCGACGGCGTCGAAGTTCTGGATCTGACCAAGACCCTGCGGACGCAGATCCCCAACATGCCTGACGTCGAGTTGCGCGGGTTTCTCGGCGGCGGGGCGTCCGGCCAGTACGGCTTTTTTGTCCCGTATTTCAACGGCGTCCGCTTCGCCGGTATGATTGATGTGGACACGCAAAATTGTGCCGACGATTGAAGCACACGTGCTCTCCTAGGAAAAGTCGTTCGAGTCAACTTGGGAACGTTCAATAGAGTTCAAGTCCTCGACATCACCCAAGTCGACGACACCCTCCGCGGTTTTTCTGGCGCCGTCATGTCCGCGTTGCCAGAGCCCTTGGACACTTCGATGTGGAACTGGACGATTCCAGAGGGCACCCGGGCCGCATATACCTTTATTCACGAAGAGAATGCCTAGATGCTCCCACTACACTGAAAAATACGTCGCTATGGAGTTGCAGGTCGCGCGGTCATGGGCGGTGACGAATAGGTTCGACACGACATACGAGTGTACCAATAGCCCCTCCGACAGAACGACACAAAGCACAACGTTAACACTTACCCGTTCGAGTCTGCCTCAGCAAGGGTAGTACTGACGCGATGTACAACAGTAAATAATTTGGACGTCGGAACCGCACCACTTCGACCAAATAATCTCGACGCAGTGTCGCCGAGAAGCACGCAAGCTGTTTCGAGATTTATTTTGCACTTGTCGAGCTCCGTCGACGCCGACTCGACAAATGCCGCCCATGGGTGTTTGCTCAAGGTGGGCAGTTGCGCCACAACCGTGTTGAGTTTTGCTTCTTGCGCTGCCAGGACGACGTGCATGTCGTCGTAATTGATGTCAACTGTCTTGGGAAGGCGCTCTAAGGACATCCCAATTCGAACAAGGTGGGGCGCTAGCTCCTGCACCGCCTACGACACAATATCACGTCTTCGTCACATGATAACAGCGTTGACGTACATGGACCAGCTCGATCAGACCAGGGTAGTTGGCATCGTCCATGGCAAGGAAGCGCCACTCAAATGCTGTAGCCTTTTCTAAGTTGCACGCGATTTGGACAATCTGCTTACACCGCCCAAGGAGTAAGCATATTGTCTCCACAACACTTGCTCCATGCAGCGCATACCTCAAGCAAGCCGGCAGAATGGATGAGTTCGTTGCACGTGTCGTGGATAAGCGAGCACTTGGCTTGGAAGTCATGCAACGTGACAGGAAATTGCCAGTAGATTTGCCAGCATTTGATGAGTTCCGCCAGCGCCAGTACGACGGCTACGGCTCGCTCGGCATCGCGACAAGTCGAACTGTGAGTGCCTTGTAGAATATTTTGAATCGCGTCCTTCTCCAACGTGGACGGAATCGCTAGCAGTACGAGCAACTTGTCCACGATTTTGCTTGTCAAGGTCGACTCGTCGCCCGACTGAATCACGTGACCAAGGTGCGCGAGCGGCCATGGGAGCTTGGCCAGGACACTGAGCACTTGCGTGCAGTGGATGTCACTCAGTACGCCGTGGCGGGTGCAAAGAGTTGTGTTTCCTCCATCCTCTTGAGCGTGGTTTTCTCCTTGGGGATTTGAAGCCATAGATACATGGCATGGCGTTGGCGGCAACGACATCGGCGGCGATGGTTCCGTGTCGGAATAGCCGTCGACAGCGGACACGACGAGGTGGGGCGAGTCCAAAATGCGGTCGTCGACGCTATCTGCAATCATGCGTTGACGCACGAGATCTTCTGGAACGCGCACTTGAAGCATTTTGAAGTACTTGGCGTACTTGGGGTGGTCCTCCACGGCGATCAATTCAGCGGAGCGTATAGTAGGGTGGGTGGACGGCGGCGGGGTCGGGGGAGGCTTCGTCGCTGCATCAGCTGTTGTCTCGATGGGTGGCGTAAATGGAGGTGCCGTCAGGTGATCTACAACAGCTTGCCAAGCCGCGGCATCCCTTGACGTCATTTCGATAAGCTTATGGGCAATTTGGACCAGGACATCTTCGGTATTAGCGAGTTTGGCCCGTGCCATGAGTTGGTGCAGGGTGTAAACCATGGTGGTGGGTGTTTTCATCAAGTCTCGGCACTCTGCCGCATGCAATTGGACTGTCGCGACGCCCTCGCGGCACGCATGGAAGTCTACTAATGTGGTACACGTCTCCGATTCTGTGAGAACGCGACGGAGCCACGGGTCGTCTTCCAGTAGGAGCAACATCTTGACTAGGCGGAACACTTCGTCCAGCAGCGTCGGAGGCGACGTCTCGTGGATCATATCGGCAATTACATTCACGACAAGCGTGATGGAATCAAGCGCTTGCAGCGCCTTCACAACCGCGACGTTGCCTTGGGGGCTGGCGAGACTCACCAGATTGAGAATGCGCACAGCCCTGAGCTTGAGGGTGTCGGGTCGGACAGTCAGACAAAGACACAAGCTCAAGAGACACCCATGGCTCTCGGCCTGCGCCAGACACACCAACGTCGACTGAAAGTGGCACAAGTGCCATAGCACTAGCAACACTGCGTGGCCTCGAGTTGTGTTGAATTCGACCCTAGGCGTGGTTGGCTGGGGAAGAAAAGACTGGAGCACGTCCAGCCCGCGGACGTCCATGAAGACGGCGACCCACGCTCTGCAGTCAATCCACGTCAAGCCAAGAATGGTGCGTAAAAGGAGAGTGTGCGGCTGCGTACTTTGATGAGCGTGCGATGAAGGTGCGCAGCAGAGACAAGTTGTCCAGGATAAGGTCTCGTCGGTACTGCAACGTCAGGATCTGCTCAACGCAGTGCGTTGGATTGGTCGTGGTTGTCAAGACAAGCTTGGCACTACATGAACGGCTAGTGTAAGTCCCGAACGTTGCGATGGCACTCGTGACAGACAAGCAAACATGGACCCATTGAGACTCGGACGTTTCCGCGCGGCACAAGTACTCGCACGCGTCGGGCTCGAGTCCTCTCCACCTCAACAGCTCCATGTACGCCTTGTGCACCTCCTTTGGGTGCGGCATCGGAGTCTTGGGCTACAAGCCCAGTCAGCACATCACACAACGACCACAGTGTACAGGCGGCGGCGACTTGGTCAGAAGCGCATGGAACATGGGCAGTTTCCCGGGGGTACATCCAGGGCACGACACGACATTGCCCATGTGCGAGGAATGAAAAGCTGTGCTTGCGTTTGGGGCGGTCCGCCGAACGAACGTTAGGCCAACTATTCTGGTCATGTCGTGCGAAAACGTCAAGTAACGCCCCGGCGCGCGATTCACGTGCATAGGCCCTTTCATTACACTACCCCACTCGACATAAAATGGTGGGTCATGGCAATCGAACGGGCGAACGTTCGTCCATGCTGTCGTCGTACAAAGCGTCTTCGAGGGCGTTTTGCATGTAAAAGTCGCCCAGGTGGTGGCGCTCGCTTTGCAGACAACGTTTCAGGATCATGTCCAAGTTCTCGGTGTATCCTTTCAAGTAGTGCCGTCCCGGTTTCTTGCGCACTTCGACAATCTACACATCACGACGGTGAGCTCAATGGGTCCGTTGTGCATCGTACTACCAAGTTCTTCTCGGCAAAGGTCGGGCGAATAAGAAAGTCGCCGTTCATTTTTCCGTCCATCACGACTTCTGTCCCAACATGCTTGTACAACTTCTTGCTTTGTCCCAAGCAGCTCATTGACACGCGTTGCGGCAGGCCACAGATGATGTCGCCTTCGTTCACGACTCGAAACGCGAGTGGCATCTACGCATCCCTCATCACTGTTCTCGGCCACTTGTCCCATATGAACTGTCAAACCATCGCGACCCCACCTGGGAGTTGAAAACGCGAGAGAAACTGTGCGTCCCGACCCGGGGAGACCCGTAGTTGTACATGACGACGTCGCGTTTGAAGGATAACTTCAAGTCAAGCGCAGCCAGAGTTGCGAGCGCGCCACCCAACGAATGTCCTAGGACAACCTTCGTCATGACAACTGCATAAGCAATTCCAACCACACCGGTGCAGTAGATTTGGACGGAGTCGGACGCATGACCTTGCCCATCGTATCGGCGGAGGAGGTCTCGCAACGCCGCGTGGCATTTGTCTCGCACGGTCGCGTACGCTGTGAGGAATCCCCGATGGACAAACGGCGTTTGGGAGCCGTCCGATTCTGTACACAATGGCCTTCATCCGATGCGCATGCAAGCCACCACGCAATCGATCGCCCTACCTGGTGGGAGCCACGGGAAAGGCTCCAGCTTGATTTCGAAATCCGTCTTGATGTTTGCCTTGCTGTCCGTCCCACGAAAGGCAAAGATAATTCTGAACTCGGAATGGAGAATCAGGCAGTTTGTGTCCGTGCCGTCGTCGTGGATCGCCATCGTTTCTTCGAGGCCGTCCCGCAAAAGTGCCGTCTGGTTCACGTACGACGTCGCAGGGTATGCAACGACACCGTCTTCGGACGTGTCGTTCGGCAGGTTCAGTGACGACCGGTAGTACGCATGCCGTGAGCAGTTCATGAGCAGGCATGCCGTTTCGAGACAAAAGAGCCGATGGGGTTTCGTGCACGCTTTGGCGCGGAAGGCCGGCAGGCGCAAGAGCGTTGCCGTTGCTCTGGACAACGCTTCCACGGGCTGCGTAGTTGCCTGAGGGGGTAGAGTCGGCTGCGAATGTCGAATTGAGTCGTCTGGTGGGGCCGTGGGGACAACTCCTGCGGTGTGAGCACGTATTGCCGGCGCTCACGAATGACATAGCCACGGGGTATTAAGCCTGGTTCGAGTTTATTCGGTGGGTAGAACGCGAGGACGGCAAAGAAGACAAAAACGGCGGTCGCAATCTCGACAACGAGCGCAGCTGCGGTCAAATCCGTCGACTTGGTCGTGGACACGGGGGCATACGTGCTCGAGAAGGCTGTGTTGAGGAGGAGAATTGCCAGGATCGCAAACGCAATCACTGTCAAGTACCGAAAGCTCAGCGACAAGTACCTCGTGTGCGAGTATCGCTGGGCTTCGAGCACACGGTGGACGATTGCGACGACGCCGAAGAAAACGGAAAATCCCGCGACGAGTAGAAGCAGGTCAACAACGGACACCCACTGCGCGACGTTCACAGTCGCATCAAACAAGCCTTCAAGTGACAGCGCCAAACTCAATCGAAGGACGACTGCACCAGCAAATAGTGCCACCTTGACCCCGAGGAACCAGTACCCAGCCACCTTGAGCGACGCGCCGTTGGAGAACTCGTGGCAGTCCTTCCGGTAGCAGTCTAGCATGATGAGAAGGGACCCAAGGATCACGACGTACACCACGGTCTCCCACGCGTTGCGAAACACGATGTAGCTGTGGCTGGAGGGGCCAAACCACGGCAACGTCCAGATGAGCATGATTGGATTGTGCTGCACGACGAGGACGAGGAGAAGGATCGCCATGAGGTGGCGTTCAAGGCTCATATGCCCCCACACTCGAAAATACAGCGACTTGGTCTGGACCGCGTCAGGAAAGCGATGGTTCAGGTGGGCGTTCAGTGCCCGTAGAAAGTGGACCAAGAACAACGCGGTGAACGTCCCTAGGCAACAACGAACGGTCACGGCGATCCACGCCCTGTTGTCTTGGTACGCTGTCAGGACAAGTCGAAACGAGAGCGGTGGATTCGACGTCGGCGCAGACGCATTGGACAACAGGACTAGGTCAATGTCAAACCGACGGGCACGAACATCCGACTCGGACGCGCCGAAGCGCTGCAAGTACACTGCTGCGAGTGGGATTGCGCCACATGTCGTCGCTGAACAGGTCGTGCTGAGTCTATTCAGGTAGCGCAGCACGAGCTGCGAGGGGTCCGGCGCAGTAGGCGCCGACATATTGAGCTGATAAAACCCGAAATCGTTGGAACTGTCGTCCGTACGAGTGTCTGTCAGGTGCAGCTCCAACAGCAGCACGTCAGGCACTTGCGGCAAGTGCAAATGCTGAAACAGGACTCGATGGCGGTGACGGGGTATTAGATCAAACGGCGCTGGGACATCCACGGCGTCCGGTGATACCGTCCAATTTAAGAAAGAGCAGTTGTCATTCGCCATCATGCACGAGGATCGCGAAATCTCGACGGACGCCGATGCCATGGAAATCGGGTTGTACGCAGCGACGAATGTGGCGACTGCCAAGACGAAAACGATGGTGACGAGAGTCGGAACGACGTCTACACAGCCACGAAGTGACAGGTGTTTACACGGCCGCAGACTGTACTTTCGTGCATTGTCTCGAGGTAGATTTGAGCGTGCAGGTTGATGACGTACGCGCCGTGGGCATGCCCCGTGTGGAGTTTGCCCAAGTCAATGTACCTAGACCAGTGTGTGGTCGAGCCAACGCATCAGCAGTTTCCTTGGCACGATTGATGCGCTTACTCGTCCAACGGATTGCTTGGCTCGACTTGAATTGCTTCTGGTGGAAATGCGACGGCGGCCAAGTTGTCCGTCGACGGCGTCAGTATGTTCATGTATTGTGTCGCGGCAGGGAACGTTGGGTGGCGTCGTCCGTGGCGCGATCGGTGCCGCCTCTCGGTGACTTGCTCCTTGGATGCTAACGGGTGCATCACGTGCCACAACAAGCGACTCATCATGCGGCGCTGCTGCTCGACCTGGTTCATCACCACATCCAGAATCTGGTCCTGATGGAGCATCGATTCAAGTCCGTCGACTGTGTTGCCATCGATCACTCCCTTATGGTCGTCTTCGCTTGACCGAGTCGTTGCCGATCCCGTCTGGACTTTGAGGATGTGGTAGCCAAACACAATGGCCGGGCATCCAAGCACAAAGAGCCACCGCAGGATGTTGAGAAAATGGCCCAGAGCTACGTCGTGGAAACGATGATACTAGACTTCTTTCGACATATGCACTAACCCGTAAGTCGACATTGGCCCTGGCATCTCGAAGAACCTGCGGGCGAGTCCTCGCACCCCAACGACGGATCGCAAACGGACACACATGGCCAGCACTGGCACCGGTGGAGCCCGCAACCAAACTCGGAGCTCTTTGCCAGAAGATTCCCACCGCACGTGCTCGGCTCCCAGGGGAGCGATTGCACTGGCACGTCGGCCGCAGTAGCGCCAGAGGCCACAGACATGACCAACAGCGAACCAACGGCGGCACCGCAACGCTTCATCATGTGTGTTGGTCAGCGTGGCAACGCAGTCGAAGCGTTCCTATGTAAAGTTCAGTACTTAAACACATTGCCCTGAAATTCAGCCAATTTGTGACGCGTGATGCGGAATCAACCAATCCATGCGAGTTAACATTTGAATTTTAGCCAATCAAATAGCACGACTTTGAAGTAACACATCCACAGGCTACTTTTGATTGGCTATCCACAGCGACATACACTTTTACGAGCAACGACGGCGACCCACACCGGCGGGCGATGACAAGTGACAGCTCCACTCGATGGACAAACGAGATCCTTTCGAGGCTGTGTGCAGGGCTATGCAAGGGATGGCGTAGAGGTAGCCATTGGTTCTGTGGCCAGGCAACCGTCCTGGCAACTTGCTGGACTATAGTCGTCCATGGAGTAACCGCACCATGTCTTGGTGAGGCGCACGCTACCTGCTAACGTGGTGAGCTCTATCATATGCAGAACGGATTCTGCATGAGCATACACGCAATGCACCAGTTGCGAGTTGCGAGCGATGCAGAACAGGTCATTAGACTGATGTTTCATTGTTTGGAGATGTGGGACACGACTGTGGCGTCAGCACCTCGATGTGCGCCATGCCTTCCGTGGGAGCAAGGGGAGGGAGTGACTTGTTTTGTCGATGGCGGACAACACCCTCGACCGTGAACACGACCAGCGCGGCCCACACAATAAGAAACCCAATGAGCTTGACAGTGGAAAACGGTTCGTCGTACATGAACACGCCGATGAAAAAGTGGCCGATCGGTTGAATGTACTGCAAGATCCCGAGCAGCGTCATCGAAATGTGCTGGGCTGACGCTGAAAAGAGCACGTACGGGATGGCTGTCGGGAAAATCCCAGCGCCCACGAGAAGCAAGTCGGTCGTGGCACTATTGTGGGCGAATACGTTGTCGCACGTGGCCAGGTATACCATGGACGGAACACTTAGGAGCGTCAGCTCGATCGTGACGCCATGGACAGGATCCAGCGGCGCGATCTTCTTGACAAGGCCGTACACGCCGAAGATGAGCGCAATGATGAGCGCGATCCACGGAACTTGTCCGTACGAGATCGCGATGATAAGCACGCCAGTCGTGGCAAGGGCGACTGCGACCCACTGGTAGCGCCGCAGCTTTTCTCGGAGGAACGCAACCCCCAAGAGGACGTTCATGAGCGGGTTGATGAAGAAGGCGAGGCTCATTTCAACAATGTGGCCCGAGTTGACGGCCCACACGGTGAGAAACAGAGTCGCCCCAAGTAGGATGCCCGATCCAGCGTACCGCAGCACGACTTTCCAGATGCGGACGTTGCTTGCAAACACGTAGATTTGCCCGGATATCGTGAGGTAGACCAAGAGCGTTGGCAGCGCCCATACGATGCGATGGCAGAGCAGCTGAAGGTATGGCACATGGAGGAGCTGCTTCCAGTAGATAGGGCACACAGACCATATCAAGTTGGTCGCGACGCAGAACACCACGCCCTTGCGAGGATTCGGCTTGATCATCTCGTGCGTGGCCAACGCACCGAATGCGGATTTGATCGGTGGGCGGCGCCTGTTGATCGCACTTCCTCAGGCCATTCGAACGGCAGAATAACCTTCTTATGGATTCCTCATACGTTAAACTATGTTTTACCTACGTTATATACGGATAAACCTGCAGTTTGCAGTTTCACCTGTACGATTTAAGCACTCACATCAAGGTGACAACACAACCTCCGATTGAAGTTGCAAGGACTCTGTCGAGTCCGCCGCAACTTGCCTGCTCTGCACCGCAGACAATTGACGAGGAGCTAACGCCATTGCTACTGCACTTCGGTTAGCCTAGTGGAGCGGCAATCCTTCCCGTTCGCGCCAACTGAACGACGTCACCTCCATCCAAGCCATCTCCAAAGGAAACACCGCTGCTGTTGTACGCGACGGCTGAGCTGCATCTTGCGTCGGCTATCGTGTTCCAGTTACATGTCCAAGCTGCATCGCCCATCGTGCGGCGTCACTGGCTGCTCCCCATGCCATGCAAGCCAGTCTGGTCATACGTTTGCGATGAAGATGCCCTCGTTTGAGACTTTAGTTGAATACATTAGATGGGATGCTGAATTAGAGCATTCATAGCATCGGCAGAGATCGCGTCGACGTCGAATGCCGCAAAGTCGTCCCCGCCGAGTCGGAGCACCTTGATCACGCCACTGCTCTCGTCCAAGATCGCGACGAACGTCGCTGGTTCGTTTGTCGGTCGCGTCGTCCATGTGTCGTGGCCGTCCGACGGGTTGGCGTCCAGCCAGTAGTTGTGCGTTGAGAGGGCCGACGACCCCCGTTGAATGGCTTCGGCAATGTCGAGCTCGCCGCATCCACCGGGGTCAGCTCTTCCGCGGCAGTTGCACCCGTACTGATTCGCACGGACGACTTGGGAATTGAGCGCCCAAATGGCTGGAAGGCCGTGGACGCCGTCCATCTTGACCTTGGCCACGAACACCTTGGAGCCAGACCAGCCACGCGCGCCGTAAGCTTGGTCAAAGTACCCTTTGCACACATCTCGGGTGCATCGTTGACGTTGCATGATGTTGACCTCCACCCCCGTCGTATTGCCAGGACCGCCGTACCTATTGCTCGGGTTCGACCCGTCGTCCAGGCGACCACGGAATGGCGTAGGCTCCTCTGGCGCAAATCCTCGACCGTCCGCTGTCGCGTAGCCTTGGGGGGAAAGGCCCTTGTACTTTTGAGGGTTGCCGTTGTTCATAAACACCAAATTCGTGGCCGATGTGCGGCTGTAGCTCGACACACGGGACCATGTCTTCGATTTGGCCGGCTGAAAGATCGCAATGTTGTAAATATCCATCGGCCCTCGAAAGACAAACGTCACGTCTTCGTGGTACGGGGCGATGGGCCCCGCACTCATTTCGACGCGAGTTTGACACCCCCGCAGCTCTGTGACCATCTTATACGTGCCCTGGCGGTGGCCTTTGGCGTAGGCATACCCAGCCTGAATGTTCTTCAACGGAAGCGACTGCGTCGTCGCTTCGGTGAGGCCTGAGGGCGACGTGCGGTCATTCGATCGCTGGGGGAACACAGCCGTCGAGTTCCCCAACAATGTGCGGGTGCCTACGACGTTCTTGAGCCAGCACGTGCCTTCATACCAGACTGCAACGACACAATCGGGGGCGGCCGCGCAGTCGGCGCAGCAGTCGTTCACCGTCTCTCGCTTTATCGATCGAATGTCATTGCCTTTGTAGTCTGCATGGTGTTGAATTGTCGAGCACGACATGGTTGAAGGGGGGGCGTTCGCTTGTACGGCGACGGCAGCGTTCGACGCAACGGCCGCACCCGCGACGAAGAGAGACGCAAGCAGTTGCATGAGTGGACAAAAGGGTCAAACCAATTATGGCCATGCACCCAGCCCACAACGAGGCGGACAAGCAACCTTGCCACAGAAGCGATTCCATTCTCCAGCTTGCCCGCAATGTCGCCGTGGTTTTTGTATCCTGGCGTAGAGTCCCGTGACATGCACATACTGACATTGTACGTGACTGCAATTCGACCGTCCTCTACCATCAAGTGCACATTGCCTCGTCTGTGCAAACCAAGCCTCGCCAAGTTGACGCCAGCTGGTAGAACTCTCGTGGAACGTTCTTCATGTATCCTCGGCCGCGTGAGGAGGTCAGCGAGAGGTCGGCACACTGTACGCCGCGAGGCTGGCACGGTGCGGTGCACCTTCGTTTGCCTCGTTCGTGTTTGTGCATACCAATGCGTTGTTTGTCGGAATGGACTGCGAACAGCTTGTGCACGTGGCCGACTATGGACAAAGATGGCATGATTGCCGGGCAGTCCATGTCGAACATGGGAGGCCGAATGAAATTGGCGCTGCCCGCTCTTGCGAGCGAGGCGCGCGTCCCTTATGTCATCCCTTTTGTTGTTCAGCGAACTTTCCTTCTCGATGTCGTGGTACCCATACCACGCTATCACCGTACGACATATGCCTTGGTATGAGCCAGCGCTGAGCCTGCAATGCAGTGACATCCCGGATGGCGACCGACTTGATGCCGGCTGGGTCTGAACCCCCGCAGCCACGAGGTGCCCTCGCCACTTCCCATTCTCCTTCGATTGAGCAGCATCAACATGCGCACCCTTGTCATTGCTCCACTCTATGCCATTGGCTTCATCTTGGCCATCGCGTTGCAAGGTGTCGTTGGCACCGGCACTGTACTCGAGCCCAACATGGACTACTGGGGCAACGACATCCGTTCCACGAAGCAGCAAGTTCCGATGAATTGCCGCAGCGAATGCGCATCAAATCCATTGTGTATCTTGTTTGTATGGCGCCAAGGGACGTGCTTCCTCAAGCACAAACGAGGACCTGCAAGAGTCGCCCCTGGGGCCGTCGCAGGTGTCGTGTACCCCCAATGCTCAGCCATTGAAGACAACACCGACTATAAAGGCAACGACATTGCTACCACGCAACGGGCATCCCCCCGCGACTGCTGTGCCGACTGCACGGCGAACGGCCAGTGCGTCGTGGTGGTATGGTTCCAAGGCACGTGTTACCTCAAGAATCTCATCGGGGCCAAATCTACGAAGACAGGTGCTGTAGCAGTCTTTCCCCACCGATCGAGCATCCAGCGGCCAACATTGCAATTCCTCAACCGCTGCAAGCACGCTATTCAGCTCTACAAAGTCGACCAGTTGGTCTGCACGCTGCCGCCGAATGGAGGCAGGTGCAACCAGTCGCTCGCCACAGGGGAGCACCCCATGTTCCGTCACACGCGAAGTGAAGAAGCGACTCTGGTCGAGATGACGTTAACGACTGATCGACTCTGGTTCGACCTCAGCGTAGTGCCACCCAACTGCCGCGACGGAAAAAGCCACGACGAATGTATCCGCAACAACGGGGGGCGCAGGGGATTCAATGTCCCGGTGTCTGTGGTACCTGTCAAGTACAACAACAACCCCGCCAAAGGCAAGTGCAACGACATCGTCTGCCACGCTGACGTGTGCCCTCAAGCGTACGTGTATCCTAGCGACGACACCAAGATGCGCGACTGCCCTCCCGATGAAAGCCTGTTTGTCACGTATTGCCCTTAAGTGGGGGAATGTGCTCTGGACTGGGTCAGTTAAATGTCGAGAACTTGGTGACTGTCTTCGTAACACGTTGATCGCACACGCAGCTCCACATCGTTCTGCTGCTGTCATGCGGACTTCCAACCGTAGTGTACTCCTTCGATCTCCTGGTACTAGCTATATGCTGGCCGGCAGGACCACCACGTGTCCACAGCTGCACTGCAAGTCGTTCGAACGATGCTTGCGCGCCTCGCGGTCCTCAACCCGCGTGAGCGTCAGGTTGGTCAATGGGTCCTCGATTTGTTGGTGGACCTCTGCTCCTCGCTTACAGCTTTGCGGTGTCAGAAGCACATCATGCATTGCTTGGCGCACATGCGACACTTACTGCCTGAAGTGGCGCCGCCCACGAATCTGGTAGAGGTGTCGGGTTTGTGAAACCGGCAGTTCGGATAATAATTATCCGGATGTGCAAGGTGCTTGGCACCCCTCTCCCTTGAACACGAAGCACTCGCCTTCCCGTCTTTGATCGACATGTTCTTGGTCAAGGTGAGCTTGGCGCTGTCCGTTGCCACAGCCCTGAACCGAGCAGCGCAATCGGCGCATGTGTCTGGCTATTCAACGACATCGGATGACGAGGCCAAGGCAAAGAACGAAGTCGCGTTGAATGTTAACGGTGTCGTGAAGCAACACGTCCCGGCGTCCAAACCTGGTCACGCCTTGGTGGCATTGCCAACGACTGATGCAGAGGTCGCTACGCCTGACATTTCGGGCGTCTCGATGCGTTGCCGATTCTGCGGCGCACATTTGGCGTGGAAGCAGTACGTGACCGTCTCGTTCATCCTCGCAACTTGACGTCCACTTGCATGATTTTGGCAGCCACTACCAGCACTTGCCCGACGACAGCAAAGCCCGCGCCAAGAATACGCGTGCGGAAGCTTCTCTTGGAGAGAACGGCGAAGTCGTGTACTTTGACAATCCGGCAGGCGTCGAGTTTGAACTGGCCTCGTTCGTGGACTCGGCCGGTGTGCCATCCGACACGTACACGCAGCAAGACACGTTCTTCGACTCGTACAACTGGCGCGTGTTGGCATGTCCTCGCTGCGCCAAGCATGTGGGGTACGTGCGTTGGTGTGTGCAGTATCCCTTAAATTGACACTCGTGGGTTCATCCGCAGGTGGAAGTTCACGCATGTGTTGCAAGACCAGTGCATGGTGGACTCGGAGCGCCAGCTGCACAGGGCCGCGACCCCGTCGCCAAAGAAAGGTTCCCACGCCAAACTGGCCGCGCAGGTCGAGGCCGCGTTTGGCGAAAGGAAGTGCCACGCCATGTCGAACGGGTGGTGGTCGTACCAGCATTGCTACAAGAGCGAAATCACACAATTTCATTTGGTTCATTATCCCACATGACGGACACTTTGCTTGACGATGGGTTTGATAGGAAGCGGACGGCACCAAGTCGAGCGACTGGAGTCTCGGCCACTTTACAGACGACCGCAGCACGGACGCCGAGATCATTCATCACTTCACGGGCGGCCAGGTACTGAAGTGATGACGTGGCAGCACCACGTTTGTTCATCTCACTCTGGTATGGGAGCTAGCACTGCGACGAAAACGGCAAACTGCGAAGCACGACGGTCAAGTTCGTGTGCTGTCCGGAGCAACCGGTGCGCGACTTCATGGCGCCGTGACAGTCTCTAATCATGGCGTAGGACGTGTCGGTCGACACGATTGAAGAGCCCAGCCTCTGCACGTATCTCATGCGGGTGTGCGTCCCGAATCTGTGTTTGTCCAAGCCCAAGACACCAGACGCGCTTGACAAAAAGATCGAACAGGCTTGTGCACAGTCGCTCATCGACCACCAAACGACGAGCTCGACTACACCGTTCTTGCCTCTCTTTTACACGCTTGTGTGGCCAGAAACCATTGCCGAAGACAACCCAGAGCTCCAGTGGGCGCATTCGCTCTCGACAATCACATCCATCGTCGGACGCTAACGAGAATTTCTCTCTCTGAACAATCTCTTTAATGACATTCATGGTGCGTGATAGCTAAAGGGGTGGCGCTATCGTGTCCTTGGCGATTGTAAACACGTTGAAGAGGAACAAAACAGATGCCCCCGTTCTCTAAATCGAGATCATCTTCGATAGCGGGACGTAAGCGCACCATGATCTTGCAGCAATTCGGTAGTCCTGCGCTCTATCGGGACCTTGTAACCTTCTCTATCCATGATGCAGAGTCACGTACTGCGCTGCATCTAGAGAATTCCGGCCGTCGGAATCATGATGTGCGTAACTGTGTGGGCTTCTGCGATGCTAGCCATCAATTCCCAAACGGAAGCATTACAGAGGTCGAGCCAGGCACGATTCGAGTGAAGGCACAAGAGTTGGGCATGAGTCAAGATCACGACCACACGAATTGCCATAATGCTCACCCACGGCACCTTCAGTTTTGTGGAAGGCCCCTGCACAGATCGAGTTGGGACAGTGCATGCTAGGTGGGCGCATGTTCATCAGCTTTAGGCACCGAGGCGTGCTGTGCTGTGGAGTGTGGCAGGTATGGCACCTGGATAGCGATGGCGACGGAGAGTCTTCTTCCTCAGCAGTGGTTGCATCCAAAGCCACAATTGTAATTACTCCAGAGCATACAGGTACCGAGAGGTATGATCCAGCGACTTTTGATCGATACCCATGTACACCTGGTCGATATGGAACAAAAACACCACACGTGCACGATTTTGAATATTAATGTATAGAGGTTTTCCTGAATACATACCGCACAGTACCCTCAAATTCTCATACACTCCATAAGGTAGTTTCGTCTCTATTGATGAACAATCGAGTGGTTTCATAGCAGTAGTTTCACAACAAGGACTGTCGTCCATTTCATTTGCACTTAATCGCAATGGCCACCAATGCACAGACTTGCATGGAGTTCGTGAAGATGGCGCGTCCTCGTATCAAAGCGATGAATAGTCGGATGGGTTTCAAGCGCAGATTAGATGACACCATGTCTAAGGTGCTTGAGCCGTGGGCGATTGATGGTCAGACCAATATGTCCCATTGATCAACTCTGCCCAAATTGGATGAAAACTGAGGCCTCGTATAGTTTCAAAACCGAATAGAAATACACTTTTGGCAATAATCATGTTTTACAAGTATGAAGATAAATATACGTGAATATTAATGAAAAATTGCTGCCTCCACCGTAACGGGTCAGAGGAAGTACTGTTAAGTGCAAGGTTAAACAGACTATAACTTCATGGGATCCTCTGCCACGCACTCTTTAAATTGAAAACACCTCTTGCATTTCTTAGTGAAACCAACCTCCGACAAAAATCAACTACCTCTATATTTTGATATTGAACAATATCGTGCATCATTCGATATGTTGAGAATTCAACCAATGGAATACTGACTTCTCCCTGCTAATCGAACGGACCATACTTTAGAATTTTTATGAATTTATAATACTTGCTATTGAAAGTATTTCAAAGATTTGAACGCATTCAATTCTTGCAAGTCCATTTCAAGATGAAGCAGCGGATGACCCTAGTCGAGAAGCACGAGCTGTACGCAAAGCATTTAAGCGACAGTAATGCATCGTATTATGCACACTTGCGTTATTGGCTAAAGAAACTATTGGCCTCGCATCTACTCCCTTAAAATCGACCATCGGACTCGTTCTCGAGACATACAAAACAGAAAGTCAATGGGTCGACAGAGGACAATGCACAAAGGAATAACGCGTTTCATTACCGGAGATGGAACAAAAGCTTGTTGAAGTGGTCAGTCGCTGCGAAGAATTGGGCGTGTGCATAACCGGAGAGCTCATCCGCAACCAGGCAAAGGCTTTTTGTGTTGAACTTGGTATCCCTGCGGCACTGGCACTCGCCATTTCAATGGGCTGGCTTTCAAATTCCAACGCAATCACGGTTTCAAGAGGAGGGTCCATCATGGAGAGGCAGGATCGACGCTCAGAGAGGTTGTTCTTGTCGGTCTAAACCAGGTCCTAGACATGACAGCAGGTTATTCACCTCAAAATGTCCTCAACATGGACGAAACGTTCATTTTACTACTTGTCGCCACATCGATCGATCACTCGCAGCCGCGTACCTGGAACGAAAAAATCCAAAAAGCGAATAACAATTGCCGTAGCGACGAATGGCGCCGGTACTGACCGCATCGATTCTTTGTTAATCGGCACCGCTGTCAACCCACGTTGCTTCCGTGGCCAGTCTGTCGAAGAACTTGGCTTCATCTACACGTCAAATAAACGAGGATGGATGAATGCGAACATCTTCAATTCCTACCTCTAGTCAATCGACGCAATGATGGCCGATCGGGACCGCAAGGTCCTCATGGTCGTCGACAATGCTCCACCACATCAAATCTTCGAAACAACTACTTTGTCGAATGTGACGGTCAAAACGTTGCCGAAAAACACGTAGCCATAGGACGCTCGAATTATCGCTTCATTCAAGGCCAATGTCAAGAAACGCCAGCTACAAATGCGTTAGGTCAGATCAACTCAGTTATGGCTGGTCGACAAGACCGTCTATATGAAGTACCGCTCGATATTGCGATGGGATGGGCCAAGATGCGTGGGGGTCAGTTTTGCAGTCAACGGTGACCTGCTGCTGGACCAGAACCGGGATTTTGGGCGATGGACTTGCTGCATTAACAGTGGTGGGCGGCATCGAGGGGACTTCAACAAAAGCTATAAACTTTTGGAAAAAGTTCACAACGTGCATCCATTATCAA